GGCTTGGGTGGCCCGAGGCGGGTCCTCCTCTTCCCCGCAGATCCTGCAAACCCTCCATTCCTCGGAGTCTCTGCCTTCGGTGCGCGCGGCCCCTGGATGTTAAGGTTCACGCGGGCGCCAGTCAGGAGAAGTAGCGACAGTCCCCACCCATCATCTTTCCCCAAGGCAGCGCCCGGACCAACGCCGCGGGAGCCAGGCCTGCTGGAGCCCGAGCGGCTTCCGGCCCAAGGAGAGACGCACTTGAGTGATCGCAAGGAGCAAACTTGGCGCTCTCCTCGGGCCTCGGAGAGGTGAGAGATTTCGACTGCTCCCCTCTCCCTCAAAGGCGGGAACCCCGCCACCCCTTGCCGCGCGGTTGGACTCTGGACGCGGGAGTGTGCGCGGGGAGAGCGGGGGAGTGCGCCGCCTGCCCATCGCTCCCTCCCCGAAACTTCTGTGCGGCGCCCGCATTCCGGGAGCGCTGACCGGGCGGTCGCTCAGAGTTTGCCTGCACTCCGACTTTTTTCTGTCTCGGTATCCATTTGTCTCAGTCTCTGTGACTCTGTGTCTTTCTCGCTTTCGGTGAATCTTTGTCTCCGTTTCCTGTGGAAACCCCTCATTTGCCTAGATGTCTCTTCGTGGGTCTGGGAATGCCTCCTTCAGTTTTCCCCTCTCCCCCACTCCTAGTCTCACTGAAGGGCTGTCCCCCAACTTTCTAGCAGGACTTGTAGACTCTACTGACAGGCAGCAGGACCTCCTTCTTAGAACCCTGACCGCAGCCCCGAGCCAGTTTTGCCTTCCTCTCTCAGAATCCTGTGCACCCAAGGTTGGTCCTGTGTCCTTTTTCTCGTCGGCTCGGTTTCTTATCATCCCGTTAGGCCTTTTTTCCCCCTGGCCTCCCTTCAGGAACCCAGCAACGAGTAGCGCTAGCTCAAACTGAGCCTATCTCAACCTCTGGGAGGTGAAAGGGGAGATGGGCACTGGACGTGGGCAAGAGCTGAGCGGGTAGACCGGCTGCTGCCCCGACAGCGCCGCGCAGTGGTCAAAGCTCGGGCATGCGAGGCCTGAGACACAGCTGCGCTCCACAGTCACAAGGCTGTATGACAGCAGGTTACTTCACCTTCCCAGCCTCAGTTTCCTGCTCTGCATAGTAGTTAAGAGCAGAGACCCTGGAGTCAGGCTGCTAGAGTCCCAATCCTGGCTTCACTATTTACCAGCTCTGTCACCTTGGATAAATTTCTTAATTCTTTGTGTCTCTGTTTCTTCCTCTGTAAAAATGAGGTTAAAAACGCCTCCATCGTGACTAATATGCAGAAGTAACCAAATTACTCTGGGCTACTTTTGAAAAGAGTATTGCAAGACTTTGCAGAGAGAAAGGGTTTGGGTGTGGTGTAGTCTCTCACCTGATCTCAAGCCCTGGTCCAGCCATCTCCAGTCACTATACTGAATTAGATCCCCTGTAAATAAGTGCACTGGGAACAGAGCGGGAGGGAATTTGCAGCCCCTGATGATAGGCTGTAGCATCAGGGTCTATGTGAGGGTGGATGAATTCTCCCTTTCACCTAACAGCAGCCTCTAACCTATGGAATAATCTAGTGTAAATCTAACTCTCCCATTCCATAGGTAGGATAACAGAGGCCCAGAGGCGGGAAGGGCTCCCCTAGGCTTCTCCAAGACAGAGCAGGACCTGGTACAACCCAGTCAAGGAATCCTCTGATAGAGTTCTTCATCCTCCTGTGCCAAAGGAGGGTGGAAGGCAGGTCTGGCTGTTTGTCTCCTGTGAGAGCAAGTCCTCTGCTCCCCCCGCCCATACACACACCTCAAACCAGGGAGATCCACTTAGTGTGCTGGGCCTGCATAAATACTGTCCTTGGGAAAAAGAGAAGAGGTCCAGTCCTCAAGCCATGGACAGGAAATTAGGCAAGGACTAGTGACCCTGGAATCGGAATCGCCTAAGTAATAGGGCTCTCCAGAAAAAAAAAAAAAAGGCTTTGGGGAGAAGTTTCCTCTATGAGTCCAGATAAACTCACATACATAGGATTGCTAGATTTAGCAGATTAATTTTATGTGGCAACCCTACACATACTTTTTATTACATGGAGGAGCGCTCCCTCACTTCACAGACACTCAACACTGTTTACCACACATCAACACCAAATGAGCTCAGTTCTGCTAGTGTCTAGGTAAATGGAGAGAAAAACAAGAGTGGCACCATTCTACTCCATCTCACCTTCTAAATGTCTTCATTTCCAAAATGGCAACTGTGAATAAGTTGTTTTCTTTCTTGCCAAAGCTCTCCTGGCTCCCCAGACTCTAGGCCCCCTGCCCTGCTTCAGGGTAAGACTAGTTGAGGCATTTGCTGCCTGGATATCCTGGTTCTAATGCTCCGGGGAGGGCTCTACAGAGCAGCTGCTGCCACCAGCCCCTCCCTCTGCCTGGCCCTGCTCTGCAGGAGCTGCTGCTGAGACCCTGTTTCCCCTTGGGGAAAGGGGATGCAGGTTCCCACAGCCCCTGTTGGGCAAGGTGGGAATGTGCATGATCCCAAGGAATCATCCAACCCCTTCACACACACACACACACACACACACACACACACACACACACACTTTTACAGAAATAGAAACCATGGCTCAGGAGATCATGTGACTTGCCAGGCTTTTGAAGGGCTCAGAGTTGGGCTAGACCCGGGTGTGTGGACTCCCGGCCCAGACCTGGTCTGTTTATCCAAATGACTGATTAGCCCCTTGCTGAGTTCCACTCTTGCCTGAGGAGAGGTGTTTCTGGGAGCCTCTTACACCTCCCAAGGTTCTGGGCCAATTTGTTTTGAACTGTCAGGAGTGAGTGAACCGGGGGCTGAGAGAAAGGAGACCCGGGATTCTTTTGGTTTCTGCCTTTCTCCCGGGCTCCAGCCTTCACTGCCTCTGCGACCTTGCGTGAGTCTGCCACTCCCTTCCGCGAAAACCTGGATGCTTTTACATACAGAAGCTTGGGCTCCAGCACCCATGCCTGCAGCCTCCAAGAAGCAAGAGGCAGCGAACACTGCGGGTCTTGGTTACAATGTCACTGGTCGTGCCTCAGCCTCTTTCTTCCTCTGCCTCACTGTTTGGCCACATCCCCTGAGCAGCTCAGAAATGATAGGGAGGAAGCGTTTGGGGCCAGAGGGGTGGGCTCTTTGGGAGTTTTCCCGCTCCAAAATTTTCAGATAAGCGGAGAGAAGTCGTTGCATGTTTATTGAGATGTGTTATCAGTGGCGTCCTTCTCCTTATGGCTCCTCCCTTCCCTTTTCGTGGTCCGGGTAGACGTGCCGTTCTCGGCTCGGGGTGGGAAATGAGCGCTCTCTGATGATTGTAAGAGTATAATTAAGTCAGTCGCGAAACTGGCGAAGCGCGGCGCTGATCTAGCTAGAGGTGGGTGGCTGCGCAGACCCACTGACTGCACGCGGCCTAGGGTTCGAGCTCCGGAAGTGCAAAGGTCCGCCCATCGGTGCGGCGGGGCTGCAAAGAGCAGCCTGAGCTGAACAGGAGGACACCACGCCTGCACACTTCTTCCATTTTATTCTTTAACCTGGCCAGCCCGGCGGAAAGCGGTGAGACCTGCGCAGCCGCCCCTTCTTCCCTCTCCTCCACGGAGCTGCCGCTTTGGAGCCAGACGATTGTTTGGCGGCAGCCGCTACATCTCCCGACCCCAGGTCTTTGCCTGCTTCAGAGCGATCCGCGCCCTCCGCCCAGCTGGGAGGCGGGAGACTCCAGATTGTGTGACCTGCAGGGCGAACCTCAGGCAGTTGGGCTTCTTACACACAGCGGGACTCCGGATAAGAGTTCAGGAGAGGCCGGATCCTCTACAAGCACAGTATTGACTGGACCTCCAACGTGTGTGCTTTCACCACCGCAGCCCACCTGCCCACCCCCAGGCGCCCGCAGGATGCCTCTGCGGCATCCACTATATTTGCGTACCCTCCACTTCTCGGAAGAAATATCTGTCTTTCGTTACGTTATGCCTGGCCACGGTCACCTCTTAGCCCCACCTTCCCTGGGATTACGAGGTGGGGTTCTCACTTAAGCACCCTGTGGCCCGCGCACTGCGCAGCGGTTGAGACCAGGGCTAACTGCCGGGCCTGTCGACTCTCGTTCGTGGGAAGAGGGTTGCGGACTCAGGAGACGGTGAAAACAGCGCAGCTCCCTAACCGCCCTGCCTAGGGGCCGGCTTCGCAGCGACCTGAGTAAGGCCGGCTCCACACACTTGGGAGCCGTGCACGGAGGCAAGGGAGTAAGGCACGCGTCCAGGTGCGTCGGAGAGCTAGCCTAGGTCTAAGTGCCCCTTATGTGTAAGTGCGTCCTGGGTTTCCGGGTCCGAGGGTCTCTTTCTCTGTCCACGTGAGCGCTTTGGGTCCGCCCCTCCGGGCGACGGTGGCTCTGAGCGCTCCAGTGCTTCCCTGAGCGACCCGCGCCTGTCCCGAATCCTCCCCTTCCGAACGCACGATCTGTGCCAGGGACTGCCCTGAAGGACTTGCCTTTACCCCAGGGCCTGAAAGGGCGCGACCTGGTCGGAGGATTGCAAACCCACTCCGAGCATGCAGCGAGACCTGGGAAGGGAAGGAGCTGTGAGGGCGCGAGCTTGGGCAGAGGTCTGGGACAATGGCGGGGAGAGGGGAGAGAGAGTACAGGGACGGCGCTGCGGACGGCCAGACTGACTGGAGCGGCGGCCTCCTTTCGACGGACTACGCGCCGCCTGCTGGAGCAGCAAACCTCGGGAACCTGACGCCCTTCGCGAGCCTTGAATTGGTGCGGAGTAGGAAGGAGGAGGGGGCAGAGCCATCCGAACCCGGCCCCCTATGCAAAACACACACACACACACACACACACGTTTAGCCTTTTGGATCCCCATGCAGGGTAACCTGTAAGTCTCGCCTGGGCGGAGAACATTGTTGGCTGCCTGAGCCCTCGGCAGAGGATGGCGAGCCTCGTAAGCCCCACAAAAACAGCAAGGGACCAGCGGGAGTTCTGGCCTTGCAGCTCGGACGCTGGTGAGGGATTCCTAGAAAACAGCGCCCTCTGGAGGAGCTGCGCATCCACGCAGAGTCTGGACCACTAGATCTGGGACCAGAGCTTCCCTTCCCGACCCCATCCTTTAGGCAAAGTTATCCGGAGACTCATCACCTCCTAATTCCTCTTTGCTCATGCTTGCTTCCTTTCCCAACCTGTACACTTGCTTCAAAACCCTGCTCAAATCCCGCCTCCTCCAGAAAGAAGCCTTTTCAAGAGCCCAACCCATCTTCCCCTCTTCCTGCTCTAGGCATCTCAGAATCTGAAGCCTGAACCCTCGACTTCACCGCTCACACCCCGCACTGCACAGTCGATCTGCTTCCTGCCTCGCCCTTCTCCAAAGAGACTGTTAATCCGTCCACTCCACCCACCCATTGCATTGCATACTGTTTTTCTTTCCCCCTAGTAAAGGAAGACTGAAGTCATTTATTCCAAAATGGGACTTTTTGGTTTTCAAAGTTTATTTCCTATATGGGGAACTTGAGACTTTGCCCAACGTCATACAGCAAATTGGTAGCAGAGGTGGAACTAAATCCCTAGTCTCTAGTTTAACAAACCAGACCCCTCTCCGTGTCACCTGGATGAGGAGCAGGTAATGTGGGAAAGCGCTTATTTTGAGGAGTGAAGACTGATTGGGGGAGTTTTGACATAGGACGGGGAAATGCAAGAGGGAACTTGGTGTGTGTGTGTGTATGGAGGGGAGAGAGTCAGTGCTCCAGGACGGGGCAGTAAGTAAGGACAGTCAGGCTGTTCCTTCTCCCAACCCCAGCCCAAATGAAGCTACTTTGATGGGCTTCAGATTTCAGGGGTTGGCTGGATGTCCTACAACAACAGGCAAGTCAGCTGGAGGCTGGGAACAGCTTCAATTCAGGCAAATACCACCCTTCCCTCTGCCCTGGGAAGGAAGGGTTGGGCCTAGAAACCTCTGCTGCTAATACACACCCAGAAGGTTCTGCTGATCTCTAGATCAACGGAGGAGGCCTTCCAGTGCTTGCAATTATGAAGTTAAGAGAGAAGCTGGGAGACTGATTTCCATGTGATTTGCATGAGGCCCCAGTTGACACTTGCCCTGAGGTTCGAGGCCTTCTCAGCGATGCTACCAGTGCTTGTCCACACAGGCCGGTTCCTGCCTGTATGTCCAGCTTCACCTCTAACCCCTGTACCCCACTCACACCTGATTTGCTCTTTTTCACCTCTTCACCTTTGCACTCAGCTCACTCCTGCCTGGCCTACTCCTCCTAATTTTCATCCATTTCAAATGTCAAGCTTTATGAACTGCTTCCCCCAACAGCACCGCACACTGGCCAGGCTGTGAGGGGCTCTGCCTCTGTGCTGCCAGAGACTTAACTCCCTATGTTGTTATGGTTTGTTTCCCAGTCTGTCATCCTCTATCAACTATGTGCTCCTTGAGAACAGGCATTATATTGTCTTCATCCTCATTAAATGGGGATAAGAATTGTACCATCTCATTGAGTGGTTGTGAGGATTAAATAGAATAATGTATATAAAGCACTTAGCCTAGTGCCTGAAACTTGAAAGAGCTCAATGAATGTTTCTCATCATTATCATCATCATTACTAATCACTCTATTTTCTGCCAGGCACAAAATTCAACATACAGTAGGTACTCAATAAATGTTAGATTTTTGGACACATGAATGAATGAATGGTATGACAGATCTCTTCCTCTTGTCCAAGACTCCCCAGAAAGCTAGCTTACATCATCAGTAGGAATATGTGTTTTCTAAGGACAGACATTGTTTTTCCCCCATCAGTCCTCATCCCTGAAGGAAGAAAAACATGTTCCCTTTCAGAGAAAGTTTTTTTCATGGTCCCTGACCTCAGCAGTCATTGGATTTCTCTCTTGTACTCTCTGCTTCAGTTTCCTTTTTTTAAAATGGTACTGAAAACCTTCCAGTTATAAAATAAGTCATGGGGATATAAAGTAAAACATAGAGAATAGAGTTAATAACATTTGTAATAACTATTTATGGTAACAGATGATTACTAGACTTATTGTGGTGGTCATTTTATAAGGCATATAAATGTTGAATCACTATGGCATACACTTGAAACTAATATAATACTATATTTCAATTATAATTAAAAGTAAATTAACAAATTTTCTAAAAAAATAAAATGGTTATGACCAATCATAACAACCAAACCCTGCCAAAATCTTCCAGGGTCTTCCCATTGCTTATAAGATAAAACTCAATCTCCTTAGTATGGTGAGCTGAACATGTTTACATAGTCCATGTCATCCTGATTGGAATATCCAGTCACCATTTCCCTCACACTTACCTCCAGGAGCAGACGGGTAACCTGGCTGGATGGAACAGCTTTGCAAGTCCAAAGCCCAGCAGTTGATCCCAGGCAGCAGTAAGTTACCTAAGCCGAACCAATCACTCCTACCAGATTTGATATATGGACTCTGGGACCTGGGAGGAGTGCTGCTTCTTTTGGATCAGAAGACAGGCATGCAGGCTTAGCTGCCAGCAGCCATCCTTCCTGCAGAGCATTGACATGAAAGCCTATCCATGAAGGGAAAATGTCTCTCAGGAGAGGGACAGAGCTTAATAACAGTGTTGAGTCCCCCAGCTTTGCCTGGAACTAGAACCCTTAGACTTTCCAGACATTCTCAGAAATAAGCTAGGTTGAATTGAATTTCTTCTAATTTGAGTTGAATTTCACAAATAAAAGAGCCACAAGAGAGAAAGGTCCTGGGTCCCTGAGACCACTGAGATGACATACCACCCAAACTGCCTGCAGAGACTCTTATGTGAAATGAAAATAAACTTCAATCTTGGTTAAGCCACTGTTATGGAATATTCTTTGGGGGGTGAGGTGGGTGGAGTCTGATACTTAACCCTAATTAATACAGGGAGGGATGGAGAAATGTTCTGTAGACAAAGAAATGATCTGGGGTTGTTAGCCTAGAGAATGCAGGGTTCAGGGTTGATGTGTCCACCATCTCCAAATCTGTACAGGACTGACCTGGAGCAGAGAGACCAAAGCAAAAAGGAGCCTGAAAGTTGTAAAGAGATGCAATTTATGAGATTCCACTCAAGGAAAACATTCCAATAGCCGTCTCTCAGAGATGCAGTAGTTTACTTTGGTGATAGTGAGCTCTCCATCACTGGAAATGTGTGATTAGAAGCTGGATAATCATCAGGTAGGAATCTTAGAGGCACCCAGGTGCAGCAAACAGAGTGCAGGATCTTAGATCTTAGAGCTGGGTTCAAATTATGCTCCCACCACTTATACTTTCAGACAAATAATCTCTCTAAGCCTCAGTTTCCTCATTTGTAAAGTATCCAGATAGCTGGATTGGAGATAGAGAATATCCTGGAAGAAAATATCCTGGCCTGCCACCTTGCAGGGACTCCTCAGACCTCATATTATAGTTGGAGCCAACTATGGGTCAGCATGCCTCCGTGAGGTTCCTCACTCTCCTGTCTGACCTTGACATTTTTGAGGGAGCCTGCTCTAGCCTACCAGGAGAATGTACCTCCCTGGTTTGTTCATATAGCTGAAGAGGAGCGGTGGAGCCTGAGCTGAGAGTCCTGTCCCTGCCTTCCTGTATAACCTCAGATATGCCTCTGCCCCTCGCAGTTCCTCAGTTTTCTCATCTGATGTGAAAAGTACATCGTCTGTCTGGACAGTCTGGCTCCAGAATCAGGGCTCTTATCTACTGTGCCCTACCTACAATTCCAAACGAGGGCAATTGCCATTCACGGCAATAATAATAATAATCATGCTTCTGCATGGCCTTGCCCTACCTAAGCTCCTGATCATTCCCAAATGGGGCCAACTGCTACATGAGACAACATCACTGGTCTGGGCCAACCCAGAGGTTCCCTGGCTACTCAGGGCCTTGTTTGCAGCCGTGAAGTTTGGATCCCCCTAAGTCACATGTATGCCTCTCACGGGTTCTGCTTGATCTTCCGTCATCTCCTTCCTCCCACAAAGCTGGGACCAACTCAGAGTTGAGGGATTAGAGACAATGAAATGGGAAATCCAAAGCAGAGGGGAGTAGATCTTAGAACATGATCCTGTGATCAGCAGAAGGGAGTCAGAGTTGAGGCCCTGGATGGGGCAGGTAGGGAAGAGGAGATGGCCGTGTTTGGCAAGGGGCAGTTGAGGTCAGAAGAGCTAGCTCCCTACGCCTGCCACTGGTGCCCAGGGCTTGGAAGTAGAAGGGAAAAGGAGCCATCACCCCTCATCAATGGCTAGGGCACAGACCCCACGCAGGGTAAAGCTGTCAAGTACCCAGGCTTCCCAGATCCAGAGGCCAAAACACCTGGTGAGAGACTTTGATGGGAAGCCCACTGGAGAGGAGGGCAGTGAGATTTGAGAAAGTGAAATTCTGACTATGGTCACCAAAGATCCCTTTGAGAAATAAAAAAGAACAGCTGCCAAATAAAGCCAGTGTGAACACACAGGGAGCTTGGTGTCCTGACAAGGGCTGTGTGGAAATGCACTTTAAGAATTTTTTCTTACAGATATACCTGCACACATGATATATGTACAAGGTTTCATTGCAGCAGGTTTGGGAATGTCAAAAGGTTGGAAACAATGTAAATGCCCACCAACTGGCCCCAGTTAAGCAAATAATGGGCCGTCTGTGTAAGGGAATAGTATGCTGTGTAAAATAAATAAGTTTTTTATGTTTTGATCTGGAAAGAGCTCCTATATGTATTGCTGAGTGAAAAAAAAAATCAAGATATATAACAGTGTAGACATGCTTCCAATTGTGTGTGTGTGTGTGTGTGTATGTTTAAAGGAGAAAATAACATTTGTTTTGGTTTGTACATGCAACAAAAACATCGAGAAGGATGAATAAAAACCTAATAACTGATTATCTGTTGGGGCAAATGGGGAACAATAATGAAAGAGAAACTTTTCACTGAATGCTTTGTTACACTTTTAAAGCCAAATATAGATATTACCTATTTAACAATTAAATAAATACTTTAAAAGAAACAAAGCAGTTGTTCGAATAAATAAGGCTGAGTGTGCAGAACATAAAATAAAAACCTTTACTATGTGATGAACACATTCTATAGGCTCCAACCTGAAAATATGGGCAGTGGCTGTAGTGCTAAAGGCAGGGCCCTGAAAGCCGAGCCTGGTGGGTACCTGTGAGCACTGATTTGATGCCCTTCAGGTAGGGATGTAAGCGAGTCTGCTGGCTAGGACCTCAGATTTTCTACCTTGCACTCGCTAATCCTACCCCTCTTTGGCTCCTCTCTTAGTCCCATCTAAACTGCTATGGAAAGTCAGACTTTTTCAGTTTGCCAAGCTGGACAGGGATTAGGATGGAGCAAAGGGGTTTTCATAGGAACTAGAGCAGCAGGCTCTCTCTCCCTTCCTTCAAAACCCAAACCAAAGCTCACCTACTTCAGGAAGTCTTCCTTGTGAAGGCCACGAAGCCCCCAGCCCTTCCATAACTCAGGGAAATGATCTGGTGCCCAGGGTAGGGCCTGTGTCTCCCTCAAGTGGGGTCCAGGCCTCTTGTCTCTAATTCTCTTCAGTCCCCTAAATCCCAAGCCTGGCCTCCAGACAAGGAGTAGCTTAGGCCAAGGCTTGGTGTGCCCAGCCCTAGCCAGGATGCCCAGTGAGGGAGACAGTGGACAGAGAAGACACAGGCCCAGTGTTGGGATACACTCAGGCTGGCAGGATAAAATATTACAGAAAGTCATTACAATGACTTTAGCAGTTAAAAAGGCCATCCCACCCAAGAAGAGAGCACAGGGCACATTCTCCCTGTTTCACAGGAGCCTGAGGCTAAGCCTGGGGCAGAAGCCTGAATCAGTGAGTAACCAAGGTGACCTAATAGTTCCCTCATCTCGTCAGCACTCTGCACGCTATATTGATACACATCGATATTTGAATCTCTGAGCAAGGTAAGTGTCTAATGCATCTCTAAGTTTTCAGCTGGGGAAGGGCACATAATCCAGGAGCTTGAAGAGAGTTGTGAATTACTGTAAAGGTCAAAGGAAAGGCTTTGCCTACGTGTCTGACGGGGGTCTAAACCTCAGGTTTCCTGACCCCAGCCCAGCACTTTTTTTTTACAAAGCAGATCAATTCTCTGCACCTAGGACTGGCCATTCCAAGCCTCTCTACAGTGGGGCAGCTACCAAAGGATGCCAAGAAGAATAGAGGAAGACAGAAGATCTGGGAGGGCTTCCCAGGGGAGGTGGAAACGTCAGCCAGTTTTCCTCTCCCACACCAAATAATTGGGTTCTGCACTGGAAAAAAGTGCCATTCAGCCACCTGAAGCCACCCCCAGCTCAAAACAGCATCCAAGTGAATCTTGGCCTCATTCCACTGATTTCCTGCTTAAATCAGGTGCACAAAAGGTGGCCAATAGGTGGCGCTTTTGTCTCCACAAAATTGATGAGAGAAAAGGCAGGGAGAAGGAAGGACAGCACAGGAAAAGGGGAGGGAGAGGGGAAAGAGGGAGAATGTGGAAAACTGAAAATAAAAGGAAACCAAAACTCATCACTTGGCTTGGAAAGGCAGGTTTCCGGATCCGGACTATGGGTGTGAGTGGGTGCAGGAATATTTAAATTAACTGAGGAATTTTATTGGTGCCTGGAGCTCTCCATCCAAGTTTCCACCTCAGCTGGCCTCTTCAGCTCAGAGAAAGAGAATGACTTTGGAATCAGGCAGACCTGGGTCAAGTTTCGAATCTGTCATTTTGCAGCTTGATCTGGATAATTCACTTTGCCTTTTTGAACCCCGATTTCATCTATAAAATGGAGCTAGTAATTCTAATAATGCCACCCTGCATTCCAGGAATAAACTGTATTTGATCATGCATTTTTGTAAGACTCCACCGGATTCGATCCGCTCACATTTTGTTAAGGAATGCTACCTCTTCTTCTGTATGTGAGAATGACTAGGTTTTGTGTGCTCAGCCCTCCTTAACCTTAATCAGGTTTTGATAACATAATGAAGTAGACAGAATTGGGATGGCTTTCGGTTTTTTCTGTGTTCTGGAACAATTTATATAACTAGAAAAATAAGTTCCTTGATGGTTTGACAGAACTCACAGGTAAAACCAACTAGCCTAGGTGCCCTCCAGTGGGTTCAATGGAGGAACAGTCTGACAGTGTTTTGTGTTTGCTGTCTACTAATAGATCTATTGAGATTAATTACTAAGTCAGTCAAGCCATACCTGGGTGTCTACCAGCCAAATGACCACCCCAAGCTTTCAGGGTTAGCGACATGAAGCTGTGATTAAATGGAAAAGTTAGTAATCTCCATGAAATAGGAGGATTTTAGCCACTGGCTGATTGTTTCTCTACCTTTGTATATCTACTTTTCTCTGTCGCCGCTGTACCTCCGCCAAGCCACCATCCTTTCCTGCCCAGATACTACAGTAATCTTTTCATTGGTCTCCCCATCCCAGATCTCCTTTAATGGCATATTTGGGGCTATGACATTTCCTCTGTGCACAAGTTTGACTACATCCTATGGATTTTAATATGTATTGTTCTCACCTTTATTAATTTATAGTCTGTGATTTCAATTTTCCTCTAACTTAAGAATTATTTAGATAAGCATTTTAAATTTTTCAAATGTTTAGTTCAAAACGTGGTCCAAGAACATATTATACATGTAGGAATTTGTAAACATTTTTGAATGTTGTGTTCATTGCAATAATAATCTTAAAACATATTCATATAGCATATTCTAGGTTACTTAGATGACCTCCTGATACATCATAAAAGCAGAGACCAGATATTCAGTCCTTATTTACATTTGTTATCAAGTGGTGCTACTTCAATCTTGATATAAGGCAAAAAACAATGTGGAATTTATACATAACTGCTGCATTTGGGCTAGTTTATGGCATGGTCTGCTGCTATATGAAGGAATGCTTGCAGTTCATTCAGAAGAAAAAAATGGTGGATGAATTTAGCCATCACATTGCTGAAGACATGCCAGGCTCCAAAGACCTAAGATGGGGCAGTCAGGGTAGGCTGCATTCAAGGTGCAAGTGATTTCATTCCCGCAAAACAATATCTTCTTTCACATTTGATTGTTATGAATTTGAATTTTTATTTTGCAGCTGTTTGAATTTAATTCTTTTTAATTCTGTTTTATAGTTGCATAAGAGATACAAGTGTAAGGATTTTATACTTGCCCATATTAAATGATAATGTAATAAAAATTTTAAAAAAGACAATACTAGAGGTCCACGGAATTTTTTCCTTTAAAAGAAGACTACTTTAGCTTCTTGTATATTGCAAAATCCTCCCCCCTGCACCCCCCTCGCCACAACCTCATACTTCTAGGATATCCCAAAGAGATACTTTACATGGGCTTAAAACCAACCCAGTCATGATAATAGAGGGTTCTCCAACTTGCTCATTTTTCCTTCTGCCTTCCCAGGTGAAGCCCACAGCCTTCGACATTGCCTGAAGGACCCTCTTTGTTGTTATGCTTCCATTGTCCCTGCTAAGGATGTCACTTCCCTGTGTACTCAATTTTCCATGTGCCAGTGATGCTGGCCTCTTTCCAGCAGACACTCTAACCAGCTCAGCACCATCCTGGCCCAAAGCCATTCTTCTTGTGCTCCAAGCCCCCTAAGTTGGTAAGCAGCCCTCTCAACTCATTGACTCCTATAAGAACCATTCCCCTGCCTTCATCATACCGCCAAAGCATGAGCCTTCATCTTCGTAACACTGAGCCACCTTCCCCACTTCCCAAAGTTAGTGAGCACTGAACTTGGAAAACAACTCCCATTCTCCTCTTCCTCATTCCCCCAATAAAAGGCACAAAACCCAGCTTTAACTCGACCATTTCATTGTCAAAGTACACGGTACACACTCAGCTTCTCATGCTAAAATAATCATCTTAATTTCAGGTGTGCAAAATTTCCCCCCAATATACCTTGACTGAAACAAAGAAATCAACAAAGAAAAAGGGAGATATGGAATCCAGAAAGCAGAGAATACAACACAGGATAGAGATGGAGGGAATTCCAAGGACTTCCAAGAAAAACAGTGAAAGGAAATTATAGGTCCACATCTGTGCAGCAGACATGGAGAGCGATCAGCCCAGACTGGGGCTGGACAGAGAGCTAGGGGAGAGGTGCATCCAGAAAAGGAAAACATAACAACCAAAAGCAATGATAGATTTCCTGAGAAATTTGACCATGTCAAAATTGTACCACAATGCTATTGGAAGATATGGAAAGATTTAGCCATGGCTATGAAGAAGGATAAGCAAATGAGAAAATAAAGCATTGAACATTGAGAAAAATTAAAAGTTGCAATCCTCCCCCTCCACCCCATAAATTGTAGTCATGGTACACTGGTGGCCTAACAGAGAACAACATATATGGTAATAATATGTAAATGCTAAAAATGAATTTGACCAAACGTTGGTAATTTGGGTGGGAATGGGAAGAGATAGAGATTTTAGAGATGAATGATCATCTATCATAGTAGGAAGTTAATCATTACTGTTTCAAAACATTAATATAAGCATGGCAATATGGAAGTATATTCCAAAAGAGACAGATATGAATTGAAAGTAGATGCTCCTAAGGAAGAAAGCAGGGTCCTGAGAATGGGCAAGTCACCATTAAAACCCCTTAATTGCTATTTGATGTGTTAGATTATATGCTTGTTTCAATTCAATAAAAACAAAAATTGTTAAAAATGTGTCCTCAAAGATGACTTCTAGGTTTCTACGAGAATGAAAGGACAACTATTTGCTTAACATTTCTGAAGCTTCCATTTAGATTATTCCTCCCCGGCTCAAAAAGGAGAGGGGTGAAGCTAATATTGAAGTCTTGCTTCTAGATAAAAGTGCTTAGTGCTTTGTAAAGACAGAGTTGGAGCAAGGCTTTGTTTTGTGTTTTCCACATCTACCCAAGTGTCAAAATTCTTAGGGCATTCTATGACATATAGGTCTCCAGACAACGAATTCCAAGGGCATCAACAATCTCATATTTGTGTCTATATGGGCCTCAGAGCCCAGCATAGGACCTGGCACACAATGAGCCCTCAACGCTGTTGAGTCGAAAATTAAAGAGGCATTTCAAAATAAAATCTTTCTGGTTTTCCAATTCAGCAGTGACCTTTCTAATATTTCCAGGCAGACACTTCCCACCTTGTTTCCATTATTCCAAGATCCCAGGGACAGAGACCTCAGGGCAGTGGCAAGAATGAAATTCAGAGCTCAAGAAGCACTTTCTGTCCTCAGCACAGTGAGAAGGGTCCTCTCCTTCCCTGGAAATTTCTTGGATTTGGAAGGAATTTATCAAGAGGTGCTCTGAGGCAGGAGGAGAGGCGGTAACACCATTCTGAATAAAAGAAAGTTTGTTTTGTTCTTTGTAGAGCTCTACTCCTTAGAGAACCAAGCTGGATCTTGGCTACCTGCTGGGCCCTAGGGAGGGACAATTTTCTCAACAACAAATGGAGGAAATAGCCTCCACTTCCACCTCTTTTGCAGGTCATGGCAAGGACTGCAAGCAAGCATGGATGAGATGTGCCAAAGTACTGTCAACCCAGTTATTATTCAGTAAGTCAGGCACAATAGACACTAGGGATTCAGTCAGCCAGTCATTCAACAAATATTAAGTGAAGGGCTGCTTTTACATCAGGCAAATGAGATCTGACTTTGCTCAAAAGGGTTAACAGCTGGGGAGGGGATCTACCCAAGGCATTTCACACCCGACTATGCATACCTACTGTCCTACCTCCAAAGGCTACCTTCCCTGCCTCCTCAGATTTCCTGCACCCTTCTCCTCCATGAGCTGCCAGCTTTCCAGCCTCATCCTGCATCACCACCCTAGAGCTTTAAACTCTTGTATCTAAGTGAAGTGCATCAGGCTTGTCCAACACGCAAATCACATTCACCCTGGGCTAAAAGCTCACCGATCTCTTCGCCAGTAGTTCCCCACAGGTAATCCAGGCCCTACTAGACTGGGGAGCTCTGGGACAGAGGAGCTCAGGAAAGCCTGATGCTTAGTATTTGGGTCCACCAGAGAGTAGGACAGGGTTAAGAGCCTACTCCCTCCCTCATATAGCAACCTCTGAGCCTCTGCACAGTGCTGCCCTGTCCTTGGTGCTGGGGATAGTCACGAAGCAGCTCAAATCCCTGCTGCCCAGCTTCCAATTTAGCAAAGGAAGTTAAGACAGGGGTCATAACTGATGGTGCGGGGCCCAGCCCAAGTGCGGAGGGGATGTGCAGGGTTCTGCAGCTTGGTCCCACCCTTTAAATAGGGAGTTTTAGCCTTTTAAACTGAGCCCCCAGTCTTGGCCCAGTGCCCTTCCTCCAGAAGTGTGCATACTAATCACCTGTAAATTTTAAGATGATTCATTGGGTCTGAAGTGGAGCCTGAGATTCTAACAAGGTGATGCATTTCATCCCAGGAGCTAGTGAAGGTCCATGGGCCACACTTTGAGTACAAGACTCTAGAGCATTTATTTCATTTCTCTGAGGAGTGATTGGTAGTGTGTCTTCCCCGCTGGTCTCTAAGCACCATGAGGATGGGATCTTGCTCATTGTTTAGCCACGTATTTATTCCCAGTATTCGACACGGTGCTTGAAACATTCAATAAGTACTTGTTAGAGAAGTGGCCAATACTCCCTTATCCATGGATGTTGGGAGTAATCCCACACAGCAAACCCACTGGCCAAATACACTCATCTGCATACCACATCTCATCTCTACCAGCCTCCGGGATGCAGCAGGTGATGGTGTTTACTAGGCCTACTATGTGCACAGCTATGGTTTAATCTCATCCTAATCCTACTTCATAAACCTCTTTCTGATGACTCACACCATGTGACAACCTAAAATCCTGAACAAAGTTCACCCACTATCTCCCCAGACCACTCCTCCAAGTCACCAGCCAGCACACCAAGCCCAGATAGAGGTTTCTTCTTTCTTTTTAATCAAACCGGGTTTAATTAAAAAATAATAATAACCTAATAAGTCCTAAGTTTTCCAGATGGTGGGGAGCTCCCCCTTTCAGTCAAGAGCCCCTGGTGCTGCTTGTCTCAGAAATCTCGAAGAACTGTCCTCGGGGCTTGGAACAGCACAGCCAGGTGTGTCTGTGTGGAAGGGGAGCACTCTCCTAGTAAGAAACTGAGGACAGACAGGTAAGTGGGGTTGGGAGACAAACTTGTGGGGAAATGAAGGGAAGGGAGCGAGAGTCAGAAACCCAAGGAGTCTGACCTCTACTGTGTTGTAAATACACGAAGGTTGCAGAGGTAAGGAGCCAGTTGTGGAGGCGCCTTGAGATCGAAGGTCTGGCTTCTGACGGCTTGCAATTCACCAGAAAAATGGGGTGGGGGCTCACGTGTGGTGATCCAGCTCGGGGACATGGAACTAACAGCAGTGCTGGGGGAGCGCACAGATGGGGGATCACAGTAAAGGGAGAAGAAATGAAGGGCTCACACATCGGGGTGGGGGTGGGAGTGGAGGGTTCATTTCAGTGGAGAGATGGTGAGGCTTCCCAGGGATGGGGGGGTGAGAGAAAGAGGTAACAGGTGTGCTCAGTCCAAGAGGCAGAGATAGGGAAGCTCAGAGGTGTGCCCAAGCCAAGGGGGAAGGGGACAGAGAGAGGGGGCGCGCCCAGGCAGCGCCCAGTCCTAAAGGCTAGGGACCCCCAGGAGGCCCCTGTCGGTGGTGGAAGGGCTCACAGGTAGCGCTCCAGCCCCGGCGCGTAGCCCGGCTGCCTCAGGTAGGCCTCCCCCGGGCCGAGGGGGCCGAGCGCGC